AAATAATAATAAAATAGTCACATTAATATTTTTTTTTGAAAAGTATAGTGCTCTTATTCATTTTTTCTTTACATTTTATTTGAAATTGGCTATGGCTTTTGGTTTTTTGTTGAGGCACTTGAGATATCATTGGATATATGGGTTAGAGAAGTTGCATTAACTTACCAACAAAAGCCAACAATCCTCCATTTGATTGCCCCATCTTAGGATATAGTTTATGCGGTACCTTTATTTATATATATATTATGACCATCAATATTTTTTTCATGAATCGATTAGTTCGGATTAAATTTTATAAAAGTCTATTACGAGATTAGAAGAATAGTACCCTTTATATTAAATTCTCGATACACACACCGTAATGTAACAAAAATTAATCTAGTAATCTCCTCAAGTGATTCATGTATAATTGGAGAATCCATGAAGAAGGATGTGAAACATTTCTTTTGGGATTTGAGAAGATGCTTGAAAATCAAGGTCCACTTGACACGATATCGATCAAGTTACAATGGGAAACATTTTAACCTTTATAGTGTCCATCCAGTTGAAACAAAAAGGAAACAAAGAGCAAAACTGAAATTATTTCAGATGGTATTTTAATTGAGTTATCAAGCAACTGGTAGACCATCGTGTGTGTGTATACTTGGTGTTTTCATAAACCTAAAGTTCTTATTCTTTTGATTTACCAATTCTCTCTAATTTGAATTTCTAATTATCCTTAAATAGAATATGTGATCAATCAATCAAAACATATAATTACGATAATTATATAGTTTAAATATTATAACTGAAAATTATAAATATACCATAAAAGTAACTTCAGTCGTACTATACCGCGGCAAATGCAACAGTGCCCAGAGAACTTGTCACGTCGGGGTGACGAATTCAATGAGATATAATTTTTTAATGGGACATGTCAGGTGGGTCTCGCAACCCAAATAATTTTAATATATCCTCTGGGACTCGTCATACTCGCGAGACGAGTCCCAATAATAAATATTTTTTTGATATTTTTAAAAGAAATCTAAAAAATAATATTTTAATGTCCAGGGAACTCGTCACGCCGGTGTGACGAGTTCCAACAGGTATAAATTTGAATTTTTTGACCGTTGGATTGACCATTATTCAACTGTCGAATTTTTTTAAAATTTCAATGGAACTCTTCACGCCGGTGTGACGAGTTCCAACAGAAAAAAAAATTGTCTTCCCTTTAAGTTGTGCACATCATCTTCAATCTATTACATAAAACACTTCTTTCATCTCTTACACAACACACTCCTTTCATCTTCAATCTCTTACACAACAAGCTCCTTTCATCTAACCAAAAATATTTCAAACAATGAGCAACAAATTCTTCACAGTTGTCCATTATAATGGATAAATTCTACAAACTGATATTGGTGTTGTGTTTAAGTCACACAGACCCATCAATATGATGTTCCCTGTAGATGTATCTCATCGTCAAATGAAGCAAAAAATTGAGAGAAAAATTGGAGCTTCTGTTTCATGTTTAAGTTATCGGCACCTAATCTCCTCAAATCCAATGACATATGGAAAAGTTCAGCTTGATGATGATGATGATGTTGTTGTTATGGCTGGACTTCATCAATCATCAAATAATAATATGGTGGAGATGTACGTCAAAACCACGAATGCAACTGATATTCTGACGTCATTAGTACCAGCTCGAAGAACAGAAGAAGCAGGACCCTATGAACCACATGCAAGTTATGGTGATGATAACCTTGTTGGACGGTTTGGTGAAAGCCTTGCTGAATTTAGCGAGGATGATAAAGATATTGTTCCGTTGGTAGACGATGATGACATGCCATTAGTTGATGAGTTCAATTTTTTAAGGCTACTTCAGAGGAATAAGGTTTGGATGTTGAGGCTAATGTATGGGAGGCAATTGTTTCACGATGTCAAGGATTGCAGAATGCTTCAAATATTTGGGCAAGGACATACCCTCAACCTAAAATGTCTCACTATGATTTGCATCAGTATCATCATGCAGTTACAATGCATGACATTAACTACGATGCTATGAGGAATCCTGAAATATTTGATATGCCATAGTTATGTGTTGCCCACTAGGGTTCTTCAGACAAGCGGTCATCTGAGTTGGCTATTGGGTCTCAGTTTGAAACAAAAAAAGAGGGACAACTAGCAATCAAGGAGTATTGCATCAAAGCTCATATTTAATTCTATGTCGCGGAGTCGGATCAAAAGACTTATTTCGTAAGGTGTATACACCATGATGTTGGTTATCAATGAAGGATATGAGTATCATACCTACAACGGAAGATGTTGTGGGAAGGCACAAGGTTCAATGCAGAACACACATGTACAAATGACCTCCTTGACACAAGACTCATACATTTAAATTCGGATGTCATATGTTGTTGGTGGAAAAAAATCCAAGAGTGCCCGTTTCTGTGTTAGTGGCATCCATTCGGAATACATTTGGTTATATTCTGACTTATTACAAAGCATAGATGGCTAAACAGAAAAACAATGACCTTGTTTTATGGTGATTGAGATCAGTCATATAATGAGCTACCATATCTGCTGCAAGCAATTTCATCCCTAAAACCATTGTTAGGTACTATACTCATCCTGCAGTCACGCTTGAGGGAGATGTTATCCTCGGAAAGAGAATTTTTGGTGGCTTGTTTTGGGCGTTTAAGTCAGCTATCGAAGGGTTTAGATTTTACAAAGAAATGATTCAAGTCGATGGGACTTTTCTGTATGGGCTCTACAGACACGCCTTGATGATAGTTATTGCACAAGATGGAGATAGAAATATTTTTCCCATTGTCTTCTCCATTGTTAAAAATGAATTGGAGAAAACTTGGATTTTCTTTCTCTCTAACTTGTATTCCCATGTTGTCATTCAAGATGGGGTTTGCATGATCTCATATCAGTCATCTGGGTTGTTAAGCACAATTTCTAGACCCGAAAATAGATTGATGCCTCCACATGCATATCATGCGTATTGTATACGTCATATTACGTCAAATGCAATAAAGAGGTTTAAGCTGAAAAAGATCAAAAAAAAATTATCAACATGGGTAAGTACCTTAGCATTTGTCATTAATTATTTCTGCTTCATTAATTTTTTTCAATAACATTTAATTTATTGTTTTTAAGGGTATGTTTTACTCCAACCAAACTTTCGTGTACGACTTGAAAATTTGAGAAAATACGGAGATGATGTGTATGAGTTCGTATATATAATCCCTAGGGAGAGATTGATACAAGCATATGATGTTGAGGGTCGACGTTACGACCATATGACTACCAACCTTGCTGATTATATCAACTCAATGCTGAAAGGGACTCGACATCTCCCGATAACAAGTATTGTTAGGGAGACTTACTTTAGGTTGGGTAAAGTATGGGCAGACAAAAATGCACAAATTGATTCCATGATCAGCGATAGGAGAAATTGGGCTCCAGATTTAGAGAAGGCAATGCAAAAGAATCAAACACATGCGACATCAATGTTTGTCCACAATTTTGTCAGACTTGATTCTAATTTTGTTGTCCAAGCACTAGTTTGACCACATGACGGACGTAATTCTACAATATATATTGGTAATCTGAGTAGAATATGGTGTGATTGTGGTCGATTTCAAGCTTTTAGGTTCCCATGCGCTCACGTTGTTGCTGCATGTATGCACATCAATGTTGACCCATACTTATATCCTGATGAATGTTATAGCTTGCACACTATGCACAACATTTATAGTTATGACTTCAAGTACCTCCCAAATGAAGCATACTGGCCTACATGCACAATTTTTGAGAAATTGTTGACAAATTCTCAATTACGTAGGAAGTTACGGGGTCGACCTGAATCTAGCCGAATTTATACCGATATGGATGATCCTCAAATAGAGCCAGGTCAACCCAAACTTTGTGGCCACTGTAGAGGTAAAGGTCATAAAAGAAAACATTGTCCACATCTTCCAAAATATCGAGTTGGACGTTAAACTATTGTGTAAAGTATATGTACCCTCACGAGTATCGGTACCTATTTTGCATTATGGAATTTGACCCGTTTGTAATTTCCAATTTAAAATTTTAATTTAAAACTTCATTAAAGTTTTTTAATTGAGAATTTACTCAAAAGTAATCATTTTGATAACTATACTTCCCATTTTAATGATAAATAAAATTTTGAATTTTAATGAGACAATAATTAAATAATAAAGACAACGTCGTACATAAACTAAAACCATACAAATCAATATTTGTACATATGTCATTTTTTTATTTTTTTTAGATCTCTCTATAATTTGATCTTCCTTCGTCTTCTTCTTCTCAATTTCTATACTTCTTTTAATTATTTCTTCCCTCTCAACTAGTTGTTTGCTACGCCGTTTAAGTAAATCTTCATACTTCTTCTTCTCCTCCTCCTCTTTCATTTTCATTTTATTCTTCTTATGCTCTTCAACTATGTACTTTATTGTCTCCTTTTCCCACTCTTCATCTGAAGAATAGCTTGAATCTGAATAGTCGATCTCCGAGTCAATGTTGTGAAACTCATAAACATCGTTAACAAAATCAATCCCAAATTTTTCCCACGACCACATATTTGATATTCTCAATTTTTTGCCACTTCTCATGCATCATAATCTTCACCCGAAACCCCTATTTATACTAAATTTTCCAAAGTAGTTGTTGGAACTCGTCACACAGGCGTGACGAGTTCCAGTTAAATTTTAAAAAAAAATTGATCGTTCCACAATGGTCACCCCAACTGTTGGTATAATTAAACAATTAATATTACAATTTCAAATTTAATGCAAAAAATATTAAAATCTACTGCATGTCTACCGGCGATATCAATCCTCATCTGAATATCTACTTTGGTTGCACCTGACAACTTTCTATCTGTTGTTCGGTGTCACCATCTAAAAATTTACGTTATTTATTGTCATTTTCAAAATATTTAAATAAATATTATAAAATTTCAAAACTTTAAATATATGAATTTACCTTGCGGCGAGAGGAAACTCCATAGGAGCGGATGTAATAGGCGTCATAAATGGGAGACGATACCACGCCCATGATTGGAGCCAAACTAAACAACCCGCTACATCCACTTTTTTTCCTCTAACAACTACAGTCACCTTACATAGTTCATGATACAAAAATGTCAAAATTGAATAACCCCAACTATATTGGCGACATACAGTGAAATCCTCCATTATTGGAAGATATTGGATATGCACCAAATTGTTAGATTTATCTGATAGCAAGATCCCTCCAATCAATGTCATAAGATATGCTCGAGCTGCATATATCACCTCTTGCTTCGTTGATTGTTCATCTACTCTAAAATCTCTTTCCAGCCACATCATCCGTATCCGCAACCCATCAATGACATCAGTTGGAGCCTCATTTCCCAATAAATTTGAAATAACAACATTTAGCGAATAAGTGTTGCGAAGAACCAATGGCATACCATTAATTGGAACGCCAAGTTGATACGCGACATCTTCCAAAGTTATCGTCACTTTACCACAAGGTAAATAAAACGTATACGTTTTGGGCCTCCAACGCTCAATCAACGCCGATATCAGTGTCGTCATCACCTTAAATTCGCGAAGAAACGTCACTCCATATAATCCGGATTGTGAAAGATATATCACTATCCGCTCATGTGGCTCTTCATTCGTCATTCCTCGATGACGAATGGCTAGTTCTTCTCGCTACAATTTCAAAATCAATTATTTAATACAATTACATAAATAATTATTATTAATAATAGCATTTCGTTAAAACTAAAATGAAATAAAACAAATTAAATTTACCGTTGTTAACTCGATCGACGAAATATGATCATCATCAAGACATAACATTTCTTCTCTTGAAGTCATTTCAACACAAAATCTTCAAAACATAAGTTTTTGATCTCAATAGAATGATTGATTACAAGTGAAAAATCAATCCAACTCAAACCTCTATTTATATTACTCTACTCAACGACTAGTTTTTTCAAATTGAAAATAGTCGTTGGAACTCATCACACCAGCATGACGAGTTCCATTGAAATTTTAAAAAAAAATCGACCGTTGAACAACGGTCAATCTAACAGTCAAAAAATTCAAATTTATACCCGTTGGAACTCGTCACACTGGCGTGACAAGTTCTCTGTACATTAAAATATTGTTTTTTAGATTTCTTTTAAAATTTTCAAAAAAAAAAATTTGGGACTCGTCAAACGGGTATGACGAGTCCCGAAGTATATATTAAAATTATTCGAGCTACAAGACCCACCTGACACAGCCCATTAAAAAATTATATCTCATGGAACTCGTCACCCCGACGTGACAAATTCCCTGGGCACTGTTGCATTTGTCGTAGATCCCAAATTAAAAGTTTGGGTGGCCTATTGGGCCAAATAATCCATCCGCCTGGAATATTTGGCCAATTCCACCGTACTATACTTATTAAAATATATAATTATTGATAGAATAAATTACATGTTTAATACTTAAATTATCATTTTTATTTTATTTTAATTTTTAAACTTTATTTATTTTCAAAATAATACCTAAAATTTAATTTATGTTTTAATTTAATATCCGTCGTTAAAATTTTGACGACGACAATAACGTGAAATTTCCGTTACAAGACATGTGAAATATCGAAAAGGAGAAAATAATTTCATGTGTAAGGGGTACGACTGTTGTTTTCAAGTGTACGACCGCATCCAACACTCCGCCGCCTATCTCTGGATGTTGTGCTAGCTTTGGTTTTAGAGTACAAATCGGTATGAATGCGATGCAATAGTGAAAACGAAAGGCTAGGTTTGCTTGATCGCCTACCATGGATGCTTGATCACCCTCCTCCATGTAAAAGATCATTATTTACAATACTTTTAGGGGTTAATGTCCTTAAATTATTGCTAATACTTTGGTCCCTAAACTTTAAGATATCCTAACTAAATCTTTGAATTATTAGTATTTTATCAATTATTCCATTTTGTCTAGTTTTCAATTTAGGTGTTAAATGCCCGTTGATATAAAAAAGTTTTAAACTTAAACAGCAGGTAATCAGGTAAGAAGGATATGCGTCCTAGTTCCAATTTAGGGTTAATTCTCCTATAACTAGAAGTATGAACAAATCAAGTTGAGCTCAAGTATTGTTGAATTCAACTCGATTTAAGAACTTGTGAGTTTAGAAGTGTTGACTCAAACTTCAAATAAATAAAAAATTAAAGCTTGACTCGAAAGTTAAAGAGCTTAAAATTTTTAAACCCCACACGAAACCAAAAATTAAAACTCGATTCAAATTCAAACCCGAATCTTAAGTACACAAAAGTCTTATATTATAATTTTTTTAGAAAAAAAAAGTAACATGTAAATGTTAATATTATTAATACTTTAATTTAAAAATCTAAAATGTTAATATATTATTTTTTTCGAGTTGAATGTGAGTTTTTCGAGTCGAGTATCAAATAACTCGCTTTGGTTCGTTAAGAATTCGAGTCGAGTTTGAGCTCGAGTAGAATTCATTCGATTTAAGTGTTGACTATGCTTTGACTTAATCAATCTCGAGTAAATTACGATATGTCTCGTCTCATCTACAATCATACTTAAATACTACATGGGACTTTCACTTGTTGCTCTCGACAGCAATGTGAGTCGTGTCTCGTCCCCTTCTTTGTTCTTTCAAATCCTCCGCTTTCTCCTCCGCTTCTTCAGATTCACCATTGGCAAGCAAACTCAAAGCCCCACCACTAGTACCAGCTTGTTCTAAGTATCTGAAACGGTTTGTCACCAAAGAGTCATGGCCATGGCTGCTAGATGGGGTTACGAATATGGTATTGAAGATAACAAAGTTCTACAGCTCGTTCGAAGAAACGATGTATTTAACTTTAATCTCAAATTTTTATCTTGACTCATACTGGTTTTAAAATAACATTTTAAGTTTAAAATTATGGGTTCAAATCCTACTGATAATAGGAATTTAGTGTTCCTATTATTATTGATGCTGTTGTTTAGACCAAATCACTAACATCGACCGATGCTTCACCTAATGCTGCATTTGTGTAGTTCAAGGTGCTCGTAAAATCTTTAAAAGATATACAACTTGTCGCAGCTTTATGTCCTCTTACAATTCTAATCTTCACATGGTCAAGCAATCTCAATCTATACTTTCTATCTTCTTCTCTAATCCTAACTACTGAGTGGCCAGTCGAGTTCGACCTGTAGAGCCTTTTGATCCCTTCACTTCTCGTATGATGTTTTCCCCTTGTATTTGAAGAGCTGCTTTGTGCTTCGGCTTCATTACCTTCCTCGATATCTTCTTTAATGTCAATGCAAACGATGTTGTAAAGCGGTCTGTTTTAGTTTCGATTATTGGCTCCGATCTCGTGCATGGAATTGCTGTGAAGAAGCACCGGAGATTTCTCCAATGATTACCTCGGCACATCGAGCTCCCGGTGACAAACCGGGCATGTCTTATTAGATTCGAGCCAAAGGTTCTCGGTGAAAAACGTGACAACAAATCATCAAAAGCCAGAGCATGTCGTCGTCTTCAAACTCTCCCAAGCAAATAGTGCACTCGAGGCCATATTTTTCACGACGAGACTCCTTGACTGCAGAGTAATAGAACGTCGTCTTCAAACTCTCCCAAGCAAATAGTGCACTCGAGGCCATATTCTTCAGCTAGTAAAATGCTATGATTTGGTCTTCCTCATTAGCGTCGGTGTGACGGAGACGATCCCTATAAGGAAAAGAGTGGCGGTCAAGTTGATGTCGTAAATATCATTGATTGTGTTAGAGTTTGACTCGAATACAAAATAGCTCAAATTAATTAATATATAAATATTGGGAAAGTAGGAAACCTAGTTTGATTAAAAGTTGAAAACTTACCTAGTTTGATTAAAAGTAGAAAACTTTATTAAAGTAGATTTCTTCTTTATTTATGTTTCTTTTGTAATCAAGATTATATCCCTATAAATAGATACAAAGGGTCAAGATTAGAAATTAAGTTTTTCTTTAACCAAAATCCTCTTGTATTTTCTTACTTCATATTAGTGAAATTATTCTCCTCTGCCCGTAGTTTTTCCCTTTTGGGTTTTCCATGTAAATCCTGGTTTTCTTTGTTTTTCCTTTTCGATCGTGTTTATTTGTTTGTTGATAATTATCGTTTCGATATTATAACAAATTGGTATCATAGTTTGGGGTTTGAGATTATGGCAACAATGAAGTATGATATTTCGTTGTTGGATCGAAACACCAGGTTCTCACTATGACAGATAAAGATTCGGGATGTTCTTGGTCAGTTAGATCTCAACGATGCAATAGAAGGATTTGATGAGAAACTGATAACACAATGGACAAATGAGGAAAAGCGTAAGGATCGTAAAGCTCTTTCTCTAGTTAATTTACACTTATCAAATCAAATTTTACAGGATGGGTTGAAAGAAAAAACATATGCATCTTTGTGGGCGAAATTGGAGCAACTTTGCATGCAGAAATCATTGACCTGCAAGTTGCACCTAAAGCAGCGTCTTTATTCACTCAAGTTGACGTAAGGTTCGTCTCTTAAATAGCATGTGACCACACCTCAAGGAAATCGTCTCTGATCTAGAGACCTTAGAAGTGAAGTATGATCAAAATGTTCGTTGCCTCCTTCTTACTCATCTTTCAGAGATACAATCTTTTACAGTCACGAAACACTCACTCTTGAAGAATTTTACAATGGCCTGCACTCGTTTGAAAATATGAAATATCTTGTCATGGTTCTGAGCACCAGGCAAATGGTCTTGTGATGCATAAATCGACTAGCTCAGACAGTGGGGGAAAAGGCGAGCGTTCTTATGATAATATTGGAAGGGGTAGATCAAAATCTTCCAACCAATGTAAAACTTGTCACTATTGTAACAAGAAAGGTCATGTTAAATCGGAGTGTTATAAGTTGTAAAATAAAATCAAACGAGAAGCTGAAAAGTAGAACTCTGGGAAATCTTGTGAGCTCGGTATAGTAGAGTAGTACGATGACGGAGAACTCCAAGTTGCGGCTGACGATAACTTTATAACAAGTGACGAGTGGATACTTGACTCTAGTAGTACTTTTCATATGAGTCCTAATCGTGAATGGTTTGCGACGTATGAAGTTGTTTCTACAGGTGATGTATTTTTGGGAAATAATGTCCCTTGTAAAGTCACAAGTATTGTCACAATCAAGATTAAGATGTTCGATGGGATTATTCAAACACTTGGTAATGTGAGACATGTTCCAGATTTTAGTAGAAATCTAATTTCGTTAGATAATCTAGATTCAAAAGGGTACAAATTCTCTAGTGAAAGTGGAGCTATGAAAATTTGCAGGGACTCTCTTGTTGTGTTGAAAGGGCAGAGAAATACTACTAAGTTTTATGTTCTACAGGATTCGACATTTTTAGATAATCTAGTGGGTGTTTCATCCACATTGTCAAATAACGTTGTTGAATAAAATAACCGTGGTCAGAACGTTTATGTGAAGCAGAAAAGTTTAAAATTTCGTAAACATAATGAATTTGAAGATAAAACTATCAGTGATGATCGGGATCGTGTTGTGCATGATATTGCTCATGGTGAAACATTTGTAAGCAAAGTTGGCACTTATGATAACCATGTCGATGTGAAGACTAAATCTAAGCCTAGAAAAAGCTTGGATTCGGTCTGTGTCCATTACTGAAGATTACCCCCTTTGAGGGGTGTTGTGGAAGAGATAGAGAACTTGTTTGTTGAAGTGAAGAATTGTTTTTGTTGAGTTTGGGTATCACATCGAATTTGGGTGTTTTGTCTCGAAATCTTTGCACTTTTAGAATTCGTGTCAAGGTGGAGATTTGTTACAGTTTGATTCGAATTCAAAGTGACACAAATTAATTAATATATAAATATTGGGAAAGTAGAAAACTCAATTTGATTAAAAGTAGAAAACTTTATTAAAATAGATTTCTACTTTATTTAGTTTTCTTTTGTAATAAAGTATATATCCCTATAAATAGATACTAAGGGTCAATGTTAGAAATCAAGTTTTTCTTTCACCAAAATCCTCTTGTATTTTCTTACTTCATATTACTAAAATTCTTCTCCTCTGCCCGTGGTTTTTCCCTTTTGGGTTTTCCACGTAAATCTTAATGTTCTTTGTTTTTTCTTTTCGATTGTGTTTATTTTTTTGCCAATAATCATCGTTCTGATATTATAACAGATTGTAACTCTTCGAGAGTTATTAATGTCTGTTGAAGAAACATGCAACCACACATTATTAGAGTATCGGAAAGCTTAACAGGGGACTTTTATATGGAAGTTCAAAGTAAAATACCCTGATTGTAATGTATACAATGAGTATGAGTCTGATAAAAGTTTCTGTGAAGAAAATACGGTAAAGCACGTCGACAATAGGTGACACAACGTTAATGAATATGTTCGACGAAGTTGGAGTAAGCCTCAGGAATAGCATATAGTTCAACAGGCTTGCCCTTCTTTGAACTACCTGGGCTCGGGAAAAGCTCAGCTTGTCAAGCCAAAGGGAAATGACAAGGAGGTTCCCAACTAATTCCGACAGGAAAAAGCAGGCATCAGCGGTGGCAGTGAACACAACCAGAGCTACACCTTTCAAGACTCCGAAAAGTACTCTGGAAAGTAATGACATTGTTATATTTTGACCCAAATTATAATTTGTAATTAAGTTGGATTTTATTATAATTATTTTAGGTAAGAATTCTTATGGATTAAGAATTCTTGGTGATCAAGTATTTGACTTTATAAATAGAGATAATGTCATAACCTAATTAAAGAGATAATTATTTTGAAGAGATGTAATCTTTCTAGGATTTCTGTAACTTTTGGGGTTTATGTTACAGAGATAGTTTTGTAGAGATTGAGAGAGTATTTGGGATACACCAAGTTTTGGTATCTATATCAGGTTTTGGGATACATGTGATATCATGTACTTGTACTCTTCGTGTTCTCTACATCTATAGTGAATTATTGTTTATCACGCCCGTGGAGGTAGGCAAGGTTGAACCACGTTAAATATCGTCTTATTTGCATGTGTTATTTTATGTTGATATCGCTTTGATTATTTTTCTGCTTTCATATTATAACAAGTGATATCAGAGCTATGGTTCGAGCTATAGAATTTTGAAGGAATTTGTTATTGAGGATTTTGTTAGCGATTTTGGAGACATGCAAGATGAATTTGTTGCAGTGAGTTTTCAGTTGCAAAAAAGTAATTCTCTATTAATCTGTGATACTTCAATGGATATTTTATAAGAATTGAAGTTGTTGAAAACTTAAAGGCCAATTTTTTGATGAAATTTGGGTCAAGGGGGGATTTGTTATATTTTGACTCAAATTATAATTGGCAATTAATTTAGATTTTATTGTGATTGTGTTAGGTAAAAATTCTTATGGATTAAAAAATCTTAGTGATCAAGTATTTGGCTTTATAAATAGAGATAATGTCATAACCTAGTTAGAGAGGGAATTATTTTGGAGAGATGTAATCTTTATAGAATCTCTGTAACTTTTGGGGTTTATGTTACAGAGATAGTTTTGTAAAGATTGAGAGAGTGTTTAGGATACATTGGGTTTTAGCATCTATATCGGGTTTTGGGATACATGTGATATCATGTATTCTTCATGTTCTCTACATCTGTATAGATACCAAAACCCGATGTATCATAACAAAATTCAAAATGTGAAAACCATATCTACAACTACAAGACACGCATTAAATTCCGTTATAAATACTTCAATCAAGATCGTAGGAGAAGGGAATTTACCGCATGTAATTGGTCAACCCTTTTTATTCTCACTTATGATAATTCCCTTTCTCCCTTGTCCTAACACTGATCAACGTCTGTTCACTCACTAGTTGCGATCTCTTTACCCAAATCATTAGAGTGAATCGCTAACGGCCAATGATCCAAACTTATTACCATCAATAACACCAAATAAATCCAATCTTTTACTGCCTAAATTCACTGCAAGAAAGAAAAACTAAAAAGGGTAGAATTGCTTGAAACCAGAGGAATTGCATAACTTGTTGAATTACAGAGAAAATGAAAAATTAAGAGAAAATCTACTTTTTTACACTCAATGTCAAACAAAAAACTCAATGTGGTCCTTTGATCAACGTTTTTCGTCGTTAACCAACTGCTCAGGTTTTTTGTGATGATGTGGCACATTAAGCAGGCCAAAATCCTATTTTTCTCTCAATTTGTCCCTCTAACTCAAGAAAATAACTCAATCTGGCCCTTCTATTTTTTCTATTTTATTTTGGTCATTAAACTTTAAAAAAAAATTAATTTAATCACTCAACTTTTGAATTGCTCATGTTTTAATCATCATGATTTATTTTATTAATATTTATGTATGATGTAGTGTTTTTCTTTTCAACCAAAGATTTCTTTTTTTTTTCCTTCATTACTAGATTCAACGAACCTATATTGAACTTGTAATAAAATTGAAAAAACTAGGGATGAGCTACTTGATCGGGTAATGAAAGGGAAAAAATGAAATCTTTGATTGAAAATGAAGAAAAATAAAATGAGAAGATAAAGGAGGAGAGTGGATATTTGAAAATATATAAAGTAGAGAGAATATTTTTTAATTTAATTATAATTTTAGAAATTTTTTAGTTTTAATATAATTTTAAAATTTTAATTTAATTAATATTATTTTAATCATATATTAATAAAATTAGAATAATAAATGTCAGATAATACATAAATATTAATAAAAATAAATCATGATGATTAAAACATGAGTAATTCAAAAGTTAAGTGATTAAATTGAAAACTTTTAAAGTTTAGTGACCAAAATAAAAGAGAAAAAATAGGAGGGTCAGATTGAGTTGTTTTCTTGAGTTGGAGGGTCGGATTGAGAGAAAATAGAGTTTTGTCATGTTTAACGTGCCACGTCAGCACAAAGTAACATAGTCATTGGTCAACGACGGAAAACGTTGGACAAAGTACCACATTGAGTTTTTTTTTCTGACTTGGAGAGTCACATTGGGTGTAAAAAAAAGTGGAGGGTCACATTGGTTTTTTTTTTAAGTACGAAGGTCTTTAGTACCCTTTTGCCAATAGTAAAATAATTTCTTGTTATTACAGGTCTCGGGTTCGAGTATTAGAAATATCAACGGTGTAAGCATTCAATATCAATGGTTCAGAGTTATCTTTGAACATACATAGTCATATACTTATTCAATATTAATAAAAATATTAGTTTTTTTGGTAAACTAAGTATTTAGTCATCCAATTATCACTTTAATTTTATTTTAGTCACCTAGCTATTATTTTGTTCTTCAATTATTCCCGAAGTTTTTAAATTAATATATATTTTAAATATTTTTGTATTTTTAATTGATAATATGTTTTCTCCCCTAGAATTTTATAACTTTGTATCCTCCTAAAATTTTAAAAAATTCATCCTCTAATATAAGATCTTACGTCTGTCCCTGTATCTATAGATGAGCTAAAATCTAATACAAATACAATGATGCAATGCAATAAAATAAAGAAAACCAAACTTGTAATGTGATATATTGATACTACATGTGCTTGTATATTCACTAATAGAAAAAGAATCAATACCAATATTCTACATATTGTCTATTTCACCTACATTGATCAAGCAAAAAGTAAAATCTTTTTTATTTTATTTGTTTGAAATAAAAATAAAGAGTCCTTTAAATAACACTGAACAAATTGAATATAACATGAGATATCATCAATTTTACGGGAATTAATAATTTAATAATCAAAATAAAATACATCGAAAATAAAAATATCAATTCCGTAATTCACTCAATCTTAAAACCATTTTTAACGTGTAAAAATTAAAGTATCCATGTAATTAATATACATGTTGAATTATATTTAATATTTAAATTAATGGGTAATGTATATCAATGATACTATGACTATATGATATTATTTCATTAAGTCTTCATTATTAAAAGTTATAAAATAATCCTTTGATTATAGAAAATTATTTTGTTAAGTTCGTTGACTATTAAAAGTTATAAAATGGTCACCCAATTATTCATTATATTCTAAACTCGTCTTTTTTTTTTGTTAAAAATTTGACGACAATCTAAGCTATACGTTAACTTACTAATTGAGATGTAATAAAATTTAATCTCATAATCTCAAATTATTATCATATTCTAGTTAGTAGGTTAACGTCCAACTTAGATAACTGTTAAATTTTAACAAAAAATTACTTTAATTTTTAATAGTCAAGAGACTTAACAAAATAAATCTCTATAGTCAATGGATCATTTTATAGTCGGTAGACATTTGTATGTTTACCCTAAATTAATTTCACATAATAATAATAATAATAATAATAATAATAATAATACCTTTAAAATATGTAGTTGGGTAGATATTTATCCTAATAAAAAATCTAAAATTAGTAAAAGTGTTCCACACATTTTCAAAATCCATTTTCCTTTTATTTTCCTACAAAGATTCCCCAAAATGGAGAAGCTAAGGCCTCCACATCATTTCAATCAAACGTTGACCCGTCAGCACTCATCTGTCACCTTTATCTATAACAACTACCGTCCACGTATTCTCTTTATTCTGCGGCGCGAATTTGCAAATCGTCACCAGAACACGCCACGTGTCTTGATAGAATAGCCACCCCGGGTTAGTCTATCGTCTCTCTAAACCCTAGTCCTCTTGTTATAAACACTTCTTCCTCAACCAAATCTTATTTAGTTATTTTTAGATTTCTACAAAGCTCCGAGCGAAAATTTTCTGGAAATTAAATCAAATATATCTTTAAAAGAAAGAAAAGAAGGATACCCACTCTAAAAAAGTCCAAGAAATTGAGTCTTTTGATGAATCATTGGTGGTAAATTCGTTTTCTGTTTGGTTCTCGGGAAATTCTAAAATGAAAAGAAACGAGCGTTTCGTTTAATGAAATCGAGCTTTAAAGCGGCGGAAGAAAACAAGTGGGAAGAAGAGAATTTTGGCTTTTTATATATAAATATAAAATCGAATTGGGGGAAAAAATATCAGAGAAATGGCGGGGGAGGAGAGGAGATTCGAGATTGGCTACGCGCTATTGCCGAAGAAAGAAAACAGTTTTATTCGGGAATCTCTGGTGAATCTGGCGAAATCACGAGGTGTGGATCTGGTTAAGATCGACAGGGAACGTCCTTTGGTCGATCAAGGGCCTTTTGATTGCGTGCTTCACAAGTTGTACGGCGAGGATTGGAAGAGCCAGCTCGAAGATTTCCGTTCTCAAAACCCTAATGCCGTAATCGTCGATTCCCCCGACGCGATTGGACGGCTACACAACAGGATTTCGATGCTGCAGGTGGTGTCGGAACTGAAGATGGAGAATCAGAGCGAAACATTTGGAATCCCTAAACAGATTGTGATTTACGATCAAGAAACCCTATTCGATAACCAAGCATGGGAGTTGCTTAAGTTTCCAGTGATCGCGAAGCCATTGGTGGCTGATGGGAGCGCCAAATCGCACAAAATGACTTTGGTTTTTAACAGCGATGGCTTGAACAAGCTTAAGCCCCCAATTGTGTTGCAGGAGTTTGTTAACCATGGAGGGGTTATTTTCAAGGTTTACGTAGTTGGGGACTATGTGCAATGTGTTAAAAGGAAGTCATTGCCCGATGTTTCGGAAGAAAAATTGAAGACTTTGGAAGGGTCTCTACGGTTTTCTCAAGTTTCCAATTTGCCTACTCACGAGAAAAATGATGATAAGTATTATAAGATGATGCATTTGGAGGATACTGAATTGCCGCCACAAAGTTTCATGACAGATATTGCTAAAGGTTTGAGAAAGGCCATGAAATTGAATTTGTTTAACTTCGATGTGATAAGGGATACCCGGTTCGGGAATCGTTATCTTATCATTGACATTAACTATTTTCCGGGTTATGCGAAAATGCTGGGTTATGAAATGGTTTTGACTGATTTCTTTTGCGGTATTCTGAATATGAATTCAAGGGGGAAGGGTTTGGTTGAGGAGTGTAGCCAGAAGAAAATTGCAGGGACTGATGCTAGGCAGTTGCTTAATTGTGAGGAAGAAGTAAGGAAAACAGTGACCAATTCTTGCTGTAGCGATGGGGAGGAGATGGAGAACTCTATTCAAGTTTGACCATAAAGTTGTAGGGAATTTGATGAAAAAGAAGATGTAGCTTGATATGTTTTCGGAGTTGGTTGTCTTGGAGGGTTGTTGCAATTGTACAAGGATTGGGACCCTGGTGCTGGCTCGTGGAGGCAAAACAAGTTGCACATTTTCGATTGTTAGACATTGGCTCATACAGGGGTCAAATAAATAGGTTGGGTACTTTGAGATTAGTTGTAGCCTCATGACAACAATTACATGGTGTTGGGTAGTAATCATGTATATTATGTCTGCTGTTGCTTTGGAGATTGGCACTTCTCAACATACTTTTGACGTTTTAAGGAACTTTAAGCTGTACTTTGAAGCATTTAAGTGTTCCTTTTGCTTAGTCATTGTTATAGTTTTCACCTTGACAAGCTCAATCAATGGATTTTTTTCATATTTTCAATGAATGTTTCATTTTAATTTCCTTGTTTATGCCAATGATGGTCCCATTTCATTCCATCTTGCTTTTTTATGTGCATTGATTTAATTGATGTGCTGCTTTAAATGCTTGATCGGATTTAGGTTTGAAGAATTGATTAGCATGTGCTCCAGAAGAACGGTTATGTTCTTTGAACTTTGAGGTACTGAAATTGGTAGTTCCTCGTCTAAATCTTGGCCAAAAATGTTTGTAAGAATAATGCTATGGGTTCCACTTTTGAGTTTAGGTACCTAGGTTGCTAACTTGATGTATAAAATGGGTAAATATCAGAGAGAACGAATACATTTTGGTGAACTCTGAAATTTAGCTTCGGGAAATATTTCATATTCACCTCTAGATTTTGCCTTTAATTGGTAGTTCATATTCTCTTTTAGGTTGTGATTAATTGGTATATTAATGTGGTTGTTGAATATCAGGTACGGTAAGTTGGTAAGATGATCTGCTTTAAACTGTGTTTCCCTCCCTTCCCCCCCCCCCCCCTTAAAGATTAACTTTGCATGCCAAGTTGAAAAAAGAAAGTTATGGGCGCTTTAAATGGTGGAAAAGAAATTATGGAAAACTTTTTGAAGTCGAATGCCAAGTGATTTGTTGATGTTCAATTGTATCGACTTCAGATTACTGTTGATGATTGATTGAGAAATGAGAACTAGGTGGGAAGATTTTGATTCACTTTAGCTTTATACTTGCACCCTTTTCTGCTACTGGCATCGAAAAAGGTTCACGATATCTTTGTTGCATAGGCTTATATTTTCAAGAATGGTGCGAGGACCTTGGAATCTATTGAAACTTAAATCTTGTGCGTAGCCATGCTGCTGGTTTAACATAACCGTTTTTCATTTGTCCTGTTCTTGCATCCTGCTTCTCTGGTGTTTTCCATATTCGATAATTATTTCCAACAACTTTCTAGTGCTGCCCTATCCAACAAATTTGCACGGTATCAGATTTGATACCTTTTCCACTTATTCCGAGTTCTAATTGCCTTTTTTCTTAGCAGTTTATGCTTCAACTGTTACTTGTTGTGGTCGAAGCTTTACCGTTATACTTCTGAAGAATTGGTTCGTGCAGCGAGTATTGGCGTAGGAATATTCATGTTACTTTGTGTTGTTTGGCCTGGCATTGTCTTCAAACATGTTGGAAGCTTGACCTTAAATAGAAATGCTCTGTTTTTGCTCTACTTTTGTGGCTTATATGGCTGTTATGTGAGACAAACCCAACACCCCCTCCTGGTTTGCTTATTTGTCAGAGTTTACAGCTTCGTGTGTACATGCATATTGACATAACTCTTAACTTTTATAGACGAAGCGATCATGACAGCATCTTCTACGCGCAATGTAACGTGTTTGTTTGTTCTAAAATATCGGTCTTGTGTAGACCAGGGTTTCAAAAACAGGTCCGTGACCGCGATTTCGGCCGCGATATAGCGGTTTTGCCGTCGTCCGAGTTACCCGTGACGGCTGCAATAGCGCCCGCGACGGCCGCAATCACGGTAAATCCGAAATAATCGAAAACGCGATCGCGATTTGAAACCCTGGTGTAGACGGCAGAAGATTTCGAAGGAGGGTGCATTTTTTCGGAGTTTTTGTTATCTTATCAGACATATCTTTTGAGGTGAGATTAATGGTGTCGTGACATCACATTATGGCATTATGCATGCCGGATGTGTATAAAACAATGCATGAGGCTTCTACTAATTGAAGGATAGGGTTCGGATATATGTTCATAAAAGGTTGATTTCCATTATTACACGCTGGCCGAGTAATTTCCTTTTCTATTCAAACTAAAAATTACGGGAATTTGAAAGAATTCGAAGAAGTAGAAGCCTAATTTCAGAGACATTTGCCGGTTTTAACCCTGTAATTTCACACAGCACCATTTTTATTTGGGTAAGTTACACGTTCAGTATCTAGATTATTATTTTTATTCAGTTTTGGTACCTAAACTTTATTTTTTTCAAAACCATACTTAATGTTTAGTTTAGGTTTCATTTTAATACCTCGTCATTAAATTTAATGATGATACTAACATTTATCATAAGGTAATGTCACATAATCGTTGGAAAAATTAAAAAATAAATCATATTAACGGTTTTATTAATTTTTCAAGAGTAATGTATCAAATTGAAACTTATATTGTCATAACCATTTTTTTTGTAAAACAATTAAATATTATTTTAAAAAACGATTACGACTTTATTTTGGAAAAATTGGTGATTTGAAATTAATTTGAATTAAATTGAATAGAGTCGCCATCGACCTTTGGGTTAGGTAGGCCGAATACCTAAAAACGTCTTTTAAAACAATTTTAAGAAAGATCATTTTTAAGACAAAAATAGTCTGCGTTTACCAAAGATTCAATTAAAATGGATTCGGGAGTCGGTTAGTGTGGGGAAGGATAAACACCCCAAAACGCCCAAAATCGGTACTGTGTCGCTTACACATCGTCGTAAATGGTGGAAATTACAATTTGAATATGAAGTAAAAAAATATGATCTATTTATTGAATATTTGTTAAAATTAAAATAATAGAAATACTTCACTTGGTAAGAAATCTCAAGATTTGCAATCCTCCAACGGGAAAGCTATCTCATCTATTTATCTATAAAGTACATCCTATCTTTTAATTACCACTAATAAATCGTCATAAGTAGAAGATACAATATGCCTAATTTATGTATCGTTAATATTAACATAAAAACCATTAATACAATAAAAATTATGAAAATAGAATAATAAATAAATTATGATTTATTTATTGAATATTAGTTAAAATAAAAAAAATCCTTTTCTCGATAAGAAAATCTCGAGATTTGCAATCCTCCACCGGGAAAACTATCTCGTCTATTTCTTACTTGTAAAGAATATTTCTCTTTAAATTAAAAGATAATGACGAAAATTGACATAAATACATCATATTACTTTTCCAACATCACTCACATATTAAGATTCAATAAAGAAATAATAATAAAGATTAAAATTTAAATATTAAACAATATGACCATCAAATAAATTAATCAAAAAAATAAAAACAATAAAAATAATTTCTATAAGCTTGTAAAAGGAAGAATTTGCATTTTTATTTATTCAGTTGAACGTCGTATCAGATTGTACCACTTCGATCAAGTGATACTTTCCACGCCCGTTCTATAAATATGTGTTCTTGAAAATAAAATCAAATAAAATGAAAATAAATGCAATTGGATATATAAACATTTACGTTAAATTATATTAAATACATTACTTACATAATACAAATAACCATAGAATATGTAAAATACATTCATACATAAATAACTAAAATAAAACTAGGTTAACATTACAACCAAAATACAAACCAATAAGCACATATGATAATTTCAGGGACCAAATACAAATACAGAAATTTAAAGAGCTACAATCGAAAAACATAAGTTAAATAACTAAACTGAAATTACACAAAAACATGAAGGATAAAACAAATATTTAAACCAAATGCCAAAACAGTGACTAAAACAGAAGATGCATAAATCTGAGGGCCAAATTCGAACATCAGCTAAAATTGCACAACCATGCAAATAAGGACTAAAACGAAACATGCATAAAATAATATGGCCAAATTCGAAATCTAATAAAAATGTAATAACAAACAGATAAGGACTAAAATATAATGACAGTAAAATAAACAGGCATTAATAGATATTTACCCAAATATGAGAGTAGTGATCAAGATAAAAATTTCATAAATGAAGGGTTCAATGTCTAAACTTTCAGAAATATTAACAAACCAGTCCAGTGACCAAAATGAAGAAAAACATAAATCACATGTCCAAATCCGAAGATCATAAAACCTACATAATACATAGACTAGTGATGTAAACAAAACAAAATAAAACTATAGGCTCGAAATAAGATTGCATGGACTTCCTTTAGTGACCAGATTACACCCTTACAGAAGCTTGGGGGGACCTAAACCGTTGTTTACCCATAAATGCTAAGGACACGCGTGCAGGATTACAGAGGTATGAGGACCAAATGGGCTATTAGCCCTCAATCCCATCACTCGGCCTCACTGCTTCAAAACGACGCCGTTCGTCGTCTGAAATATAACCCTTTTAAGGGTTATTCTGAAACCCTAAAATCATATACTCTCCCTCTCAGCCGTTTCACTCTTTCTTCTCTCCCTCTCATTACAGAGAGCCGAAAAGGCTCTCAACACTTCTTCTTCTCAACCTCGCCTAAACAGAGGCCTCAACTCCCCGGCCACCGTAGAACGGTGGCCACGGGGAGTAACCCAAACCCAGAGAAAGTTCTCTACGGCCTTAGATCAACCCCTACACTGACTAATACCCAGATAAACCCTCTGATTTCGAACCCAACAAGCCCCAAAGGAAAAAAAAAATTCTTTTACCTTCGGTGAGGACGCTTGGCTCCGATGAAGCACGATGGTGGTCAAAAACCAGGGTAATCTTTACTCTATCTCTCCCTTTTTTTTTTTTTCGAATGGGTCCTTTTTTTTTCTGTCCTCTCTTTTTTCTTCCGTTTCTGTTCTTTTATCTTTGCTTTTCTTCGGATTTCTGGTGAGATGATGATGAGATCTAGGTAGAGCTGGCTTTTTTCTGATTTGGTAGGATAGAAATCCCGAATATTTAGGGATTTATTGGTATTTAATTTGGAATTTAGATTTTGTGAGATTTGAATGTGTATGATGTATTCTTGATTGGTTTGCTGTAGATGACAATAGTGCCACAGTTGGGGTCAGACCGGAACAGTGATGGTGGCGGCGCTGAGGCAGAGAAGGGTCACACGGCGGCTGGAAGGGGATTAGGGTTTGAAACCTAATATGTTTTAGGGTTTCAAACCCTAATCTAGGTGGGTCGGGTTAATTTGGGCTTCTGGTCTCTGGGCCAATTGTAATAGGCCTTAATTGGCCTGCAAAAATACATGTAATTAATAATAAAAAAAAAACGATATAATATAATAATAAAATAACGGAAAAAAAAAAACGGAAAA